TTATTTCAAATTTGCTTTCAAGATTTACTTAACAATTACAAGATTGTTGCAATAATATTGTATATATATATACATTCAATCCATCTAGACACAAAAAAATGTTTATACACATCTAGACGTATTGTGAACGGAGCTGGACCGACATGAAACTTAGGATGTGTCATTTCCCTCTCAATGTCAAAAAAAGAAAAAACTTAATTAAAAAAAATATTAAGTTTCAGAAATTATTCATTTTGTTCCTTCAAATTCAAAAAATTACGTTTCAATCCATGATATTTACTTAAAAGTGAACTTTTTTTTTTTAATATCAGGGGAAGAAGAATTGAACCCAAATCTATTGCCAAAATGTTTATAAACTTATCACTAAACTATGTTTTGATATGCATGTAAAGGTGAATTTAATAATACTTTTACATAGAGTATATATAATTTATCATTTTGGTTTGTTAATTAATAAAGGGTAGCGTTATTTTCAAAGTGCATTTTGTTAATAACAGAGCAACTAATTTTTTAAATATTAAACTGATTATATTACCCTTCTAGTTAAATATTATATTTAACTCATAAAATCCCTAACTCTTAAACTCAATGCTTTCTATTTCTCTCTCAAATCAATAAAACTGATTAATCCATGATAAAATCAATTAATCTCACTAAGAAACTGTGAGCGGTTAAAAGCTCAAATTTTTCACAGATCTGCCATTAAAAGCCAATCATGTATTTTCTTCCTACCTTGTGTTTGATAAAGAAGTAGAAAAAGGTAAAATGAATAGTTAGAAAATTTGTATTGAAGGATTTTCCATAATTGAGGGAATATCTTGCAACGAAACCAAAATGTTATTCATGAATTTTATCCCATTTTTGTTGAATTTTTTATATTTTAACACTTTTTTAGATTCTTTACACAATATTTACTAAAAAAAAATGATATCGCCCACCTCCTGGTTGTCATCGCTCAATCACTTCCTTTTCCACTAAGTGATTGCTTAGGGACCTTAGCGTAGGATCATTTATTTATATCCCTTTTGGTGATTCTTACTTCTCGTAAAAAATAAGAGGTGGTTTTACCTTTTTGTAATTAGAAATGAGACTCGGTTCATAGTGTATGGTAGACCCTTTTATATTAATGAATGTAAATTATCGATTTGTTTTGGTTGGTGAACCATTCTGTAGTAGAAGAAAGGAAAGCAGAGTGTAACACCCTCCGCCCAATCCCGTGCGAAACCAAACGATGATCTATACACAATGTCGAATGAGAATTTTATCCGGCAATTTTTGATATCGAAAATTCTCAGTAGTGTTTTTTCATGTGACTGTTTTTTTAAGACCTGATGGCATGAAATTAGGGTTTTAGACTTATTTAACACCATTCAATTACATTATTGTCCATTTACGCATAAAAGGAGAAGGGATGAAAAATTATATAGTGATATCGCACCTCCAGCTATTGTCATGGAGGCGACCTAGTGCCGGTTTGTACATCTTTTTGCGTTCAAATCACTCCATTGTACACAATCTAATAGATGGTAGAGGAAGTGTTGTCTATGAAGAAATTGATGTTCACCCAGCTCAAGGTGAGTTTTTAGGTTGGTTCGAAACAATCATGACAGCCTGAACAAGAAGGAAAAGAAGATTGGAGGAAGGGGAGCCTTAGCCGTGTAAGGCATTATTGGCCGATATCCCAATGTTGTTATTTGGTTGAAGGGTGCATATATATCCAGCGGCGTTTGTTGTTGTGAATATTTTCTATTGTCATAATTGATGTGCTCGAGTGAAAGTATGAGAAGTGAGAAAACGAAAGGTTAGGTAATATATATCACTCCATTATATGTGTGTTAGACTTAGAATGATTGGAAGAGAACTATCTCTAAAGCGGTTTTTCACTAAGCTCAGTTCAAATTACCATTCCTCATATGCGCATATACGAGAAACCACTGTTTAGAGTTATGTTAGAGTGTAGAAGTAGATAAGGAATCATGAGCAACACATTGATGTTTTGGGATTACCCTCGAAGTGAACATTGCATCACACCAATGGCTTTTTATGTTGCCAATTCACAAAGTCGAGGTGAAGATGAAAGAAACGTTTGGGCAGATGAAGCACTTGTGAATGTGAAAGCAGTTACTATGTTAGAAACTCTGGCACGTGGGCTAAGTGGAGCCATATTCTTATTGGCAGGGGGTCACGACCTTGAAAGATGGTGGGTATGATTATTTGCATTTCATAATGTACTCATCATAAGGAACAAGCCTAAATACTTATTTTCGTTCGGCTAACGAAAAGTAATGTTGATTCTAACAATAGATATAAGTACTTTTCTACCACTTTTGCGATTTTTCAATCGGTATAAACTCAATATATCGCGTAAACTAAGTGATTGCTTAGGGACCTTAGCGTAGGATCATTTATTTATATCCCTTTTGGTGATTCTTACTTCTCGTAAAAAATAAGAGGTGGTTTTACCTTTTTGTAATTAGAAATGAGACTCGGTTCATAGTGTATGGTAGACCCTTTTATATTAATGAATGTAAATCATGGAATTTGTTTTGGTTGGTGAACCATTCTGCAGCAGAAGAAAGGAAAGAAGAGTTACTGAAATGCCGCAAAATTGGCGTCAAGATGGTTCTTCAATTTATGGCAACGAATAATTTTTTATACTTCTTGTTTCAATGATAAATTTCTAAGTTAGAAAGGATCATATAGTCATTTTAATATTAAAAAAAATTCGTTGCTATGGTATTAACAAAATGTAATCTGAAAATAAAGCTACCCTTAATAAAATCTCAAATATATACTATTTATTTTGATGGTATTTGATTCAAATTACAAACCGAATTACTCCAATTTCATCAAATTGAGCTTAAGTGAGAATACAAAAACTCTCGCCAGTATGTTGAGTCATACACATACACTTCCAATTTAGAGGGGGAAAAAAAAAAAAGGAAAGGAAGAGGCAAAATATTTAAATACTAAATTTTACTTTTTAAAATAAATTACAAATTAAATCTTTATTTATTTTTAGAAAATATTTTTCTAATAACTCATTTTTTATCGCAATATTGAAAATTAATTAAAAAGATAAAAAATTTAATTATAAGACTATAAAATATTTTTAACATTTATATATTAACATTTTATTTCTATTAAATATTAGAAAAAAAAAAGATAAAATTTAGTAGTAGCTAATTATTGGTGGTGGTAATCGCCAATGGCCCACGACTGATGGTGATTAAAAATGATGAATGTGGGTAATTAACAGATCAATATATGGTGGTGGTAAGTCCGCCAATGGCCCAGCGACTGATGGTGAGTTAAAGAATGAAGTGAGGGAAGGTGGTGGGTATATTAACAGATCAATTATATATATATATATATATATAATAATAAGTATGATATTTAATAATTTTGTTAGTTTGTATTTTTAAAAAAGGTAGTGTCTTTATATATGATTTTAATAATTTTGTTAGTGTATTTTAAAAAGGTAGTGTCCTTTAAAATGACATAATTTTTCCTTTGAGAATTAGAAAAATACTAGCTTTTATTGATTGGTTCTTCTGAACAAATATCTAAAATGTTATTAAACTAAATTATTTTCTAAAAACAAATAATGTTAAATAAACTAAAATTTTAAAAATATAACTTTTTTTTTTAAATAAATGGAGGTTAATCCGAGTAAAAAAGGCTCCAATCCCTTAAACCAGGTCGACTGTTCAACTCTTCTGAATTGAAAAAATCCTTGATCGAAACGAACACGATTAAACTTAGTCCAAACGCCGAAAAAAACTTATAGCATAAATAAATGAATAAATAAAAAATTAACAATTTCTAAAGTCCAAAAATCTCTGAGCGTTATACTCATAATCTATGATTAGTAGGTTAGTATGCAATTGAATTTGGAATCCAGGTTGTAATTTTCCAAATCAAAATTAAGATTTAATTTGTTTCCTTTAAATTGTGTTATGTATTTAGTTAACAAAACAAGGCAAATGAATCTGAAAAAATCTGTCAGGATAGTCTTTACAAGCCCTGCCAAATCAGTGATTTGTAATTAAATTCCCAATGAGAGTGAAGGTCAAACCAATGCTCTTTAATTTCATTTACACCCTCTCCTTATTTAAATTTTTTATACTCATTGCATTTGCATTACACCTTTCTTTCCCATTCAAATGTTTTTAAGGGTCTCTTCTTATTTATTACACAAAAAAAATAAACATTGAGAGGCAATATATATATTTTAAACATTGAGATTTAATATATATATTTTTAAAAGTATAATTAAAAATTTATGGTAGAAAAACTAAAATTTAAAAAGTTTAGGACTACAAATTTTGATGTATCTATAGAATAATTGGTTAAATAAAAAATACTTGTATTTGCCAACTTATTAATGTCAATATAAATATATATTTTTTTCGTTTTATGATCAAATTATGAATCAATTTTTTTAAAGTAATTATGTGTCAATTTTTGTATAGGGTAAGTAGACATTCATAAGGCAAATCCTTTAAGACCAAATTAGAGCACTCCTTTCCTTCTATGCAAACTATAATAACATTGCAATTTATATCTTTTTTTTTTCCTGTCATTACTAATTTATTTCAATGAAAGACTTATCTACACACGAATTTCTAAAACTTAGTCACACGGTAGATTCATTTCTATAGTTGAAAGACTACTATTGCCTTCAAGATTTTCAAATTTTAATTTTTCATCCCTAAATTTTATTTATTTTTTAAAATTGTACAACCCCTCCCTAAAAATTTAATTCTATTTTTATTTTTATTTAATCCCTATACAGAATCTAATAATATAATTTAATTCTATTTTTATTTTTATTTTAATCCCTATAGCAGAATTCTAATAATATATAATATATAATAATAATTATATATAATATATATATTATATATTAAAGCCTCTCACCTTTCAATAACCATAAACTCCATATAAATATATATATATATATATATATAAGCCTCTCACCATTTCAATAAACCATAAACTCCCTCTTCTTACCCCAGCCAAATTAACACTTCAAAAACAAAACTCTCTCCTTACATAGAGAGAAAGAGAGAGAAAGAGAGATAGCCATGGCCATGATATTAACAACTCTATTAGTCATATTCTTTTCTGTATTCTTTAAGGTTGCATATGACACCATCTCATGTTATTTCCTAACACCAAGACGCATCAAGAAAATTATGGAGAAGCAAGGAGTGCGTGGCCCTGAACCTCGCCCTCTTACCGGAAACATCTTAGACGTGACCTCTTTTGTCTCCCAATCGACTTCTATGGACTGTGATTCTATTCATCACGACATAGTTGATCGCCTCTTGCCACATTATGTTGCCTGGTCTAAACAATATGGTACGCAAATTTTTCTTTATTGTTCCTTCATCAGAATTCAAACATGGGATCTCTCTCTCTATTTCTCTGCAAGATCTGATGGATTTTGAGCTTGCAAAATCGCAGTTCTGGAGGCAACTTCAGTTTTTTGTGTATCTATTAATACGATTTCACAATTCTAAAAACGACTCATCGCAGTACCTTCTGTTTATGTCCAGTATTTCGTTAGGGTCTAATAAAATTTGAACTTATAACCTTACAATTTTTGAAAACGACTTGAGAGAAATGAAACCATTTTTTACACAATACTGAATGTGAAATGAATCGTTTTTGTTATCTTGTAGGGAAAAGATTCATATACTGGAATGGGATAGAACCGCGCATGTGCTTAACAGAGACAGAGTTGATTAAAGAACTTTTAACAAAGTATAGTATTAAAGCTGGAAAATCATGGCTGCAACAACAAGGTTCAAAACATTTCATTGGTCTTGGCTTGTTAATGGCAAACGGTGATAACTGGTACCATCAACGACATATCGCTGCGCCGGCATTCATGGGAGACAGACTAAAGGTATTTTATTATTATAAATATTAATTATATTTTCCTGTGCTACCTGCAAATTGCGTGTTCCAAATTCAGGAGTCCCGAGAATTTTATAATATATATTCTTTAAATGGTTGGGTTTTAATTTTTTTTTTTTTTTTTTTGTGTCCAAATTCAGGAGTCCCGAGAAATTTTAAAATTACATATATACTTCCTTTACAATGCGTTGGGGTCTTTTAACTTTTTTTTTTCTTTTTCTTTTTTATACTCGAACATGAGCTTACGCTGTGGCATAGTGGTGTGAGGGTGCAGGCTAAGGAACATGCTTAATTACTAAAAACTTGGCAGTGAACATCCAGCGCAGAAACAGAACTTCGAGAATCGTGCAATATATGACAAGACTTACCCTCGCTGAATCATATTTGCAAGAAGCCTGATTCTGATTGTTATTGTTATGAAAAGTCTATAGCAAATATCTTCCATCTCTTTGACCTGTTCTTCAACACGTCTCTCGTGCTCAAGCAAAGCAGGCACTTTTGTTCTTGGCGGCCCCCTTTTTTCTCCCCCCAAGGGGAAAAAAAAAGGCCAAGGTTCGCAGAATACAAAATTTTTTGCTATTTGTAAACAATAAACCAGGGTTTTCAATATTTTTAAATTAATTAAGTCTTCACCTCTAACTTTTTTTTTTTTTTTTTTTTATACTGAAAGAGCTACGCTGTGCATATGGTGGAGTGCACTAAGAACATGCTTCAATCACTAGAAAATGCAGTGAAATCAGGAGAAACAGAATTCGAGATCGGTGAATATATGACAAGACTTACTGCTGATATAATTTCAAGAACTGAATTTGATTGTAGTTATGAAAAAGGCAAGCAAATATTCCATCTTTTGACTGTTCTTCAACGTCTCTGTGCTCAAGCAAGCAGGCACTTGTGCTTTCCAGGAAGCAGGTGAGATAAATTTTTTGTATTTGATAAAAAAATAAAGGGTTTCAATATTTTAATTAATTAGTTACTTAATTTTGAAAAGATTGTATGATTAAGCTTTTTTCTTAATGCTGATTCTTTATGTTTTGTTTCAGGTTTTTTCCAAGTAAATATAACAGAGAAATAAAATCTTTGAAAATGGAGGTGGATAGATTACTAATGGAGATTATACAAAGCAGAAAAGACTGTGTAGAGATTGGAAGGAGTAGTTCTTATGGGAATGATTTACTGGGTATGCTTTTAAATGAAATGGAAAAGAAGAGAGGATCAAATGGGTTTAGTTTGAATTTACAGTTAATAATGGACGAATGCAAGACCTTCTTCTTTGCTGGACATGAAACTACTGCTCTTCTCCTTACTTGGACTGTTATGCTTCTTGCTAGCAATCCTTCTTGGCAAGAAAAAGTTAGAGATGAGGTTCATCAAGTTTGTAATGGCCAAACTCCATCCACTGATCATCTTCCTAAGCTCACTTTGGTAAGCAAGAATTTTATATTTTTTTAGTTTTCTTTTGTTTCTTTTCTTTTCTCTTCTCAGTGCCTTTTTAGTTCATAGTCTGTAGTTAACAATTAGCTGCTAGCAATTAGGGCTTCAGCACTGGATGAACAGGATTCAAAGAAAAATTGGGGGGGGTCAGAAAAATTTTCAAAATGGAGGGACAAAATTTAAAAGAAAAATTATAATTTACAACTATTTATCGTGCTAATAAATTAATTCATTAGGAGGCTCAACAAGTAAAAAGAACATTATGTACTATACAATAGAGATATTTTTTCCTTTTACTCATCAAGTTGAAAAACTTCGAGAATTCTCGGATCTGAAACTCAATATCATATTTAGAATTAAAAAATTTCATATAGAATTTATTTAATTGGTTTTAATATTGATATGAAGAATTCTAAGATTAATATTGTTTAAAATTATATAAAATCTAAAGATAGATATAACTCAGCATAAAAAAAGTTTATTTTTCGAAACCTATACCTACTAGAACCGATAACATGGTCAGCAATGACTCTCTTTGAAAAAAAAAAAAAAGCACTCAAAGCATATGTGTACTTATAAATTGGTTTCTCCCTACCTTTCTTTATTTCCCTCCTTTTTTTTTATAAATCATTTTCTCAACCCATGCCTTTATTAATTTATATAAAATTAAAAGGAAAAAAAAAAGAAGCTGGCTGCTACGGTTAATTTAACTATGATAATGATAGTTGCTTAGAAGAATGTTATGGTAGGGTCTCCAAGTACAAAAAGAAAAATTGTCAAGAACCACACAAGAGGCTATGGATTTATGGCCCTCCACTTACGAATTTGTCCTTTCTTATTTTTGCTTAATATAATTTTAAAGCCAAAAAAAGATTAATTAAGAACCCAATCATTAATTATTCACCAGCCTAGCATACTTTAGCACTCCTCAAAGTTGGCATGAAAATGGTCAAGAAATCTATCTATATGTAGTGGCCAAGAAAAGTTTTGCAATATGTAACTACCTTAATACTAAATTCTAAATATTAAAGAGTCATTTTCGGGCTATCGAGACCTAAATTCTAAAATAGTCCTATACTAATATATTTTATAATTTTATGTCAATGATAACTGAACATCTAATCTGTAGACTGTGTTTAACAATAGTTTTGTAAGTAACTTTTATAATATTCAGCAGCAAAGTATTAGAACTAGCTTTTAGAGATTAAGGTAGAGTTTTATAAAACGTTAATAATGTAATGTTTAGCTTTTAACATTTTGTGAAAAACTATTTAAACAACTAGTTACTAAAACAATTAACTACTATCAAAACAACTAATTTTTCTAAAAAGACCTGTAGTGCAAAAATTCAATTAGATGTAGAAATCCTAACTGTTATTTTTCAGCATAGACTTGATAATGATCTTCTCTTTGGAAGCTTCTAATTGTACTAATTTTGCAGCTAAACATGGTGATAAATGAGTCACTAAGGCTCTATCCACCAGCAACAGTTTTACCAAGAATGGCATTTGAAGATATAAAGTTGGGAGATCTTCTGATACCAAAAGGGCTATCAATATGGATTCCTGTGCTTGCAATTCACCACAGTGAAGAGCTATGGGGGAAAGACGCAAATGAATTCAATCCTGACAGGTTTGCTTCGAAGACATTTGCCCCAGGAAGACATTTCATCCCTTTTGCTGCTGGTCCCAGAAATTGCATTGGCCAAACTTTTGCTATGATGGAAGCTAAAATTATATTAGCTATGTTGATTTCAAGGTTTAGCTTCACTATTTCAGACACTTATCGCCATGCTCCTGTTGTTGTTCTTACTATAAAACCCAAGTATGGTGTTCAAGTGTGCTTGAAGCCCTTAAATCCATGAAAAGATATATATTTTTGTTTAAATTTTAGTTGTACGAGAGGGATATATATGAGGTTGATTAATTAATTAATTAATCAATGTTTTTTTGATAAATTATGATTATCTCTTTTTGTTATGAGTAAAATACAACTTGGGTTCTTGAATTATATTCTAATTAATACTTTCATTCTTCCATTTTCGAGAAATTAATATGATGTTTCTAACTTTTACTTAAATTCTCTATTGGAGCCTTCTGTCCAAATATTTTGCTGTTAATTAAACACACTTTTTGAAAAAAAAATACTAATTTTTTGTATGGAAAGACTTGATAGTGAATTTAAATAAATATTAAGAATATTATAGTAATTTTTCAAAAATAAAAAGATGAAAATGCTAATTGAAAAATAATTAAAAAATCCAAGTGCAGTTTATCTTTTTGTTTTAATTGTAATTAATATTCAAGTCAAGTCAAGAAATAGACATGATGCTTTAATTTAATGGGTAGTAAACAAAGTGATAGTTTATTGATAATAATAAAAATAAAAAATAAAAAAGAGAGATGCATAGACAGTGATTTTGCTTTTAATTTTATATGCACAAAAGATTTGTGTCTGCTTGCCTAAAATATAAAATGTATAGGTAGGTCTCTGCACAAGTTTCTATGACTTAAAGGAGTTGTAAAGTATTATTTCGGTTGAATACATAAATTAAGACTTTTTATTGTAACCAAAAAAAATTTAATACTTTTATTTTATAAAAAAAATTGGCATAATATATTATTTCACCATCAACTTTAGGTTTTGTTATAATTTCACTCCGATTTAACCTTTATGCCAATTTCACTTTGAACTTTAACCTTTTATTACAATTTCACTCTAATTTGACCTTTATACTAATTTCATCTTGAATTTTGACATTTTGTTGCAATAGCACTCTATATTATAATTAAGACTTAAATTATTAAAAAATAGATTCACTCTTAACCTTAATGTTATGTTTGGGAAAAGGAAGGAAGGAAAATAAGGGAGAAAGGAAAGTATGAGAGAAAAATAAGGCAGTATTGTTACTATTCATTTTTCTTCCTTATTTTCCATCCTATGTTTGGTTTGGAAGTAAAATAAAAGGAGGAAGAAATTTTGACTCTATCTCCACCACTCTCTCTCCAATTTCAATTTGGAGAGATTGTATTTTTGTGGGCACGGGAGGCTTTTAATGGTTATTTTGATTCCTTCTGTGACATTCCGACCCGGTAAAGCGATCTTAAGAGGGCAGGTAGAGCGAAGCTCTTGGCTAGCTTCTAGGATGGCAGGCTAGCTAGGATAGTGGAATGCGAGACACAGGAATGAATTGAATCATATATTGAAAATGGAGAAACTAATCATTAGAGACGCGTTTTAGTGGAATGGCTGGAGAGTTGGAAGAACTCCAGGGTTAAGTGTGCTCGCTTAACGGAAATCCTAGGATGGGCGACCTCCAGGGAAGTTTCTCATTTCACCTACGGGAAAAAACCGTGCGGGTCTTGCCAATCTTGTATGGGGAATTTGGTTTGATCCAAAGCGGACAATTTCTCTGGTGATTAGAGTCCGGCGTGACAGTTGGTAGCAGAGCCGGACCCCTCCAGTAGATTTATGGTTCGAGGATGAACCACGCGGAAGCTGGTGGGCTGTGACATCCCGACCCGGCAAAGCGATCCTAAGAGGGGCGGGTAGAGCGAAACTCCTGGCTAGCTTTCGAGGAATGAACCACGCGGAAAGCTGGTGGGGCTGTGTACCCGACCCGGCAAAGCGATCCTAAGAGGGGCGGGTAGAGCGAAACTCCTGGCTAGCTTCTAGGATGGCAGGCTAGCTAGGGTAGTGGAATGCGGAACACATGAATGAATGGACACATGAATGAATCGAATCATATATTGCAAAGGGGGAAACTAATCATTAAAGGCGCCTTTGATGGAATGGCTGGAGAGTTGGAAGAACTCCAGGGTTAAGCATGCTCATTTAACGGAAATTCTAGGATGGGTGACCTTCTGGGAAGTTTTCTGTTTCACTTACGGGACAAAACCATGCGGGTCTTGCCAATCTCATATGGGGGATTTGGCTTGATTCAAAGCGGACAATTCCTCTGGTGATTAGAGTCGGACGTGACATTGGCTTATTTGAATTTCAAAAGCGGACAATTTCGCTCTGGTGAATTATTAGAGTCGGACGGTGACAGTTGGTATCAGAGCGGACCCCCTGGCCAGTAGATGTATGGTTGCCGAGGGGACGAACCACGCGGAAGCTTAGTGGGCTTGTGACATCCCCGACCGTGGCAAAAAACGAATCCTAAAGAGGGGTGGGTAGAAGCAGAAACTCGCTGGCTGAGCTTCTGAGGATGGCAGGGCTAGCTAGGGTAGTGGAAATGCGGGACGCATGAAATGAATCGAAAGCGAAGCTCCTGGCTAGCTTCTAGGATGGCAGGCTAGCTAGGGTAGTGGAATGCGGGACACATGAATGAATCGAATCATATATTGAAAAGGGGGAAATTATTCATTAGAGGCGCCTCTTGGTGGAAGTTGGAAGAACTCCAGGATTAAGCGTGCTCGCTTAACGGAAATCCTAGGATAGGTGACATCCTGGGAAGTTTCCCATTTCACCTACGGGACAAAACCGTGCGGGCCTTGTCAATCTTGTATGGGGGATTTGGCCTTGCCAATCTTGTATGAGAGATTTCGCTTGATTCAAAGCGGACAATTTCTCTGGTGATTAGAGTCGAGCGTGACAATTGGTATCAAAGCCGGACCCCCTCCAGTAGATGTATGGTTCAAGGACGAACCACGCGAAAGCTGGTAGGCTGTGACATCCCGACACGGCAAAGCGATCCTAAGAGAGCAGGTAGAAGCTCCTGGCTAGCTTCTAAGATGGCAGGCTAGCTAGGGTAGTGGAATGCAGGACACATGAATGAATCGAATCATATATTGAAAAGCGGGAAACTAATCATTAGAGGCGCCTCTTGGTGGGAGTTGGAAGAACTCCAGGGTTAAGCGTGCTCGCTTAACGGAAATTCTAGACTGGTTGACTTCCTGGGAAGTTTCTCATTTCACCTACGGGACAAAACCGTTCGGGTCTTGTCAATCTTGTATGGGGGATTTGGCTTGATTCAAAGCGGACAATTTCTCTGGTGATTAGAGTCGGGCGTGACAGTTGGTATTAGACCCGGACCCCCTCCAGTAGATGTATGGTTCGAGGACGAACCACGTGGAAGCTGGTGGGCTGTGACATCCCGACCCGGCAAAGCGATCCTAAGGGCAGGTAGAGCGAAGCTCCTGGCTAGCTTCTAGGATGGCAGGCTAGCTAGGGTAGTGGAATGCGGACACAAGAATGAATCGATTCATATATTGAAAGGGGGGAAACTAATCATTAGAGGCGCAAGAATGAATCGATTCATATATTGAAAGGGGGGAAACTAATCATTAGAGGCGCCTTTTGGTGGAATGGCTGGAGAGTTGGAAGAACTTCGGGGTTAAACGCGCTCGCTTAACGGAAATTCTAGGATGAGTGATCTCCTGAGAAGTTTCCCATTTTACTTACGGGACAAAACCGTGCGGGTCTTGCCAATCTTATATGAGGGATTTGGCTTGATCCAAAGCGGACAATTCATCTAGTGATTAGAGTCGGGCGTGACACCTTCCATATTTTCTTCAAGATACCCAAATAAGGGAAAGTTACTTTCTTTACTTATTAGGTGAGGATGAAACAATATATTAAATCAAAAAAAATTCAATAATAACTTCATTTTTAATTGAACTCATCAAAATTTAAAAATTTGCACAGATTGACAATTTTAACTAGTAAATTTCACTTTAATTCAAAAAATAAAAAATCATGTATATTAGATATAAATTTGCACATTTAATGAAATATAATTAAGTTCGAATTCAAAATTATTTGGAGAAATAAAGACAATTGTACTACTAAATTAAAACTCATTACCAATTATAAAATAATAGTTTATATATATATATATTGCGTAAACTACCTGAATCGACTCTATTATCTAGGAACCCTATTATATAGCAATTATAAAAGATAATTCCACAGTTTTTTAATTTTTAATTATTGAAATATGTCTAATAAAATCATTTTCAGTGATATGAAGTTGTGAATATAAATCTTGACTATAATCTAATTATTAAAAAAAATTAAAATGGGACATGAACATGTTTAAAATTCCAAAACCACCCTTACTAAATGATTAGGTGTAATTAAAAAGTTAATTTGATATATTTATTTATAATATTGAGATAAGACCAAAGATGCTCACAAAAGATTTAAGAAACCAAAAGTGAGGGAAGGTAAAAAGGTTTTTCTCTTTTTAATTAATAAGTTTTGATGCTCATATCAAAAATAAAGCTGTTTGATTCTTCATCTTCTTTTTCTTTTTTTTTTTTTTTTCTTAAAGCTGTTTGGTCTTCATCTCTTTTTTCTTTTTTTTTTTTTTTTTTTTTTTTTTTTTTTTTTCCTATGCCTTTCAGCATAGAAAAATAAAATAAAATTAGCCAACTTGCATATTTGACAAAAGGGTAGGGTCGGGATATTTTTTTTCCCCTGCCAACCCATTATAAATAAGTATATATATTTGTACCCGTCGTTCTACTTATTTTCTCTAATTACCTTTTTTTTTTCCAACTTATATTTATTTATTTTTTATTTCTCTTATATTTCACTGTCTTTTACACTATGCAGTAAGAATTTCCGTATCATTAATTTAATGCACATGCATTGCAGGGCGAAACTAGAAAATAAATTTTGAAAATTTTGGAACGGTAAACTATAATTTTTTTTTATATTCTGAAAATCAAAAAGTAATTTTTTTTTCTATAAAAAATAATGGGAATGACCCTAATCCTTTTTCTAGTTAGATCCTTGATATCTTGGATCGGAATTAATTGAATTAATAGAATTTTTTTTAATGGGGAGAAATTATTTTCTGAATTTTCAATGTAAAAAAATATATATGCATTTTATGTATTACATACGTGGTAATTTTAGAATATTTTGTATTTTGGAGGAGTTGTTTGATTAATATGCATATATATAGTAAATGAAATTGAAATTATGAACAAGTACAGAGTTGATGGGACGAGAAGCTCCATCCCCTAGCTCAATAAATTTTTTAAAATTTTATTTTATAAAATAATGCAATTTTTATTTATTTGATATCGTTAAATTTTGAAATTATTTGTTTTGGACTCCTCTAACTTTAAGTTGGAAATTTATGTGGAAATAGAATTGATATGGTCCGCAAGCTAAAAGATCAATGCGGTACACGTGAAACAAAAATATTTAGTATGAACGGAAGGAATTAAAAATGGAGAGAAAAAAATATGGAGAAAATGACAATACTTAGTGTAGCCATAAGCTGTTCATTTCACACCTTTAGAAAACTTTGGAAACAGTGTTTCAATCAATGCATATATATATTCCAATTTTTTTACTATATATAATTATTATTATACACTCTCCGATACTAACAGTAATTACAACAGTTTCAAACACATCAAAAGCAGTACAATCCATTATAAAGCCTGTTAAGAATAGTTTTTTGATTGATCAAAATGCTAAACGCCATTTTTTTATAGTGTTAGTAATATAACATTTGGATTAAATTTTAAAGATTAAGGTAATAATTTATAAAAAGTTGATTCGTGTAACATTTAGCTTTTAATGTTTGATGAAAAACTATTCAAATAACCAATAGTTAAATGCTATTAAAACAGCTAACAGCTAATTTTGCCGAACATACCCTAAACAATTACATGGACAAAAATCCTAGGACATCACCCCTTACCAATAGGATTGGGATCGGATCATTTGCTCAATCAATGCATGTAAACGAAAGAAAGAAGTAAAGACCAAAAAAATATAAGAATAGACAAATGTATTTTTTGACTAAGTAATTAAGACAGAACATAAAATCAACCGTTGAAATTTGGAGGGACAATCACTAGCTAATAGTGTGATTTGACAAGGAATAGATAGCCAAGGTGACTTGCTATCTATTGCTTGCTGATTTTGGATTGCAAAGCTAAAAAAAGAAGAAGAAAGAAGAGATATAATTCAAAGATTTGAAAATATTTTTATTGCTTTTCATAGTGTTTGAAAATTTTGGAATAGTTTCTGATTACGATTTTGCAAAAATAATATATATTTGTAATATTATATATCTAGACTTCTAATAAGAAATAACATTCTCAACTCAACCGCACTTAATGATAAGGGACTGAACCCCTAATTTCGCCCGAAAAGCTAACTCGTAGAGGAAGTACTGAATCTAACCTTATACATTAGCCCAAGATGTACTACGCAGATGATGATGATGTGGGACGCATCATCCCCATCCCCATAAAACCCCAATTGTCTCAGTCGGCATTCTAATGAACCCTATGAGACACCAAATGATAAGAGACTTGACTCCTAATTTTGATCAAAAAGTTAGCTCGTAGAGGAAGGACTGAACTCAGCCTTATACACTAATCCAGGATGTACTCCGCGGGTAATGTGGGACGCATCACCTAATTAATAGAAGATTTAGGGAAAAAAAAAAGTTGTTTTCAAATTTGCAAAAGGATTTACTTTCCATTAGCAAAATTAAATATGTGTAGAATGCTAGTTGAAGTTCTGTATATTGGTAATGTGTAAAGTTTACATTTTTAGCACGCACATTTTAAAAGTCAAAATAAATCTCTTGATAATGATTAGCTTTTAAAGCTTTTTTTTTTTTTATATATATATATATAATTTCTGTCCCATCTAATCCATTGCACGAGTGTGTGTCTTAAGTGGTTGTTTATACTTTACTAATATTAACTTATGCAAATATCTCTTTCTCCGCACCCCTAAGCACAAAGTGGTGGAATGTCCAACTGCCTATCCCAAAAGAGAACAACTGAGTCAAAGTTTATATATATAATAATAATTTTTTTCTCATTTTATTCATTATATATTAGTCATTTTTAAATTGAAAAATATTAATACTGTTATTATTTATTTATTAGGAGGTCTAACAAACTTAAATAATATGTTGAATTGTACAATAAGAACAACCCTCCCTTTCAACTGTGAAACCAGAAAGATTAATTAAAGAGAGCGAATTTATTTTTCAAAATTTAGAAGGGATATAAAAAAAAATCACTATTTTTTAGGTAAAAGGTAAAATTTTCTATATTTTATGAGATAAATTTAAAAAAATATAAAATAGGGGGAGGCCAGGTCTGCCTTTGCTTATCAAATTAATGAAATTTTCTGTATTCGATGACTCAAATATGAGATCATTCACTCTATACATTAAGATAAAAAGCCGATCAGATAAAATATAATTAATTGATGGTTGGAAAAAAATATTAATGTATTAGTAGTAGATTAAAAAAGTATTAGTATATAAAATGCACCCCCATTGTCAATTAGTAATATTAATTAATTAAACATCTCCACCACCATCTTGTTCTGCCCCCACCACCACTCTCTCATTCCCTTATCAAAACATAATCTTTATCACTATAATTTCTTTTCTAATCACTACTAAGTGGTAGCTTTAAGATGCCAAAGACAAATGTCTCTATTATCAAAAGTCTGATTTAGGTTTTTTTTATCATATATTAATTAATCTACTTGTCCTTTTTTTTTTTAAATAAAAATTCAGGTTCAAGTGCCTCACCATTAATTATTCATCAACTTTATGTGATGACACGTGGAATTATTAAGAAACTAATTTGATTACCCAATTTTTTAAACGTTGTGTTAGCTATTCATCCAAGTGCCTAATTTGTTGATTAATTTAATAGTTATCCTCTAGCAAAAGCAGCCATTCTTTAATTAAATTTAAAATTCGGTGAAAGATTGAGTTTATCTCAGTAGCACTAACCTGTGAGGTACAGGCGTTCAGGCTCATATGCTGACCCGTAAAAATTTTGCGCTGGCAGGGTCGACTCAAACCCACGAATTTAGTGGATTTTCTAACCCCTCGTGCATGTACTTATTGCCACTGAGCTATCCCATGGAGTACCTCAATTGAATTTGAATGACAATCACATAAAAGCTAAAATTATTATCAAAAATAAAATATAAAATATGGATTTATAAATGCGAATCTAAACGCAAATTTCACTTCCACATTAACCCAACTCTCACTATAAAATCAAAGTCATTAGAAACATAATTAGCAAGTTAAAATTTTGAGTAGCTCAAATGTGCTGCCTATAATAGCAAACAAACGTGGGAAACAAGAATTCCATTATTAGCCAGAATATAGCTTTGAGCTACTATCTATCTTCCACTTTCTTTAGAATAAAATTATTTCTTAGTGTTTATAGACAAGACATTTAGAGAAATATATTAGTCTAACATTGTTAGATCAATGAATGAAAAGCTAAGTGCCTAAAATCTTGTTTGACTGATGAAGATCTGCAAGATTTTCTTTTAAAAGGGGTCAAGGGTCTAGATTTTATTTGTTTATGTGATTGCTCTTTAGGTTCAGGTTGGCAAGTATTAGTAAATTGACTCACAAAAAGGCAACCTAAGTATTCTAAAGTACCATCCTCACACATTTTAATGTTTTATGCCAGTATTTAGGTTCCATTGTCTCTCATCTTTTTTATGCCAATATCAAGAAAGAGATTTTCTTTTCCTTTTTATATCTCTTAATCCCAGTTTAAATTTATGATTTACCTTTAACTGAATAATCGGGTAACGTGAACAGTTAAATAATAATTGGGATCAAACCCACAATTAAGCACATGGCAAGTTGCATGGAAAGCGGTTTCCTTCAAATCTAATAATAATATTTGTACGTAGAGATAATTAAGGAAACAGAAAGAAGCTACGAAGTCCAAGTGTTGAATATATGATATATTTAAGGTTGAAAAGATGACGGCAAAACTTTAATTAATGCAGCAATTTGTATTCATGAAATGTCCAAATGGAAATTGACCGTGCTAATTGCTTTAATAGGTAAGCATATGTATGCGCTATTTGACTCCATCTTCTTCCTTAGAAACCGGTTGAGTTGAAGAATGAAACTTCAGACTCTGTTTTAATTTTGCTTTTCATGAGAATGAAAGAGTTTCTTCAAACTCAAAACTTCAGACAACGCTGCATTTGGAAAAGAAATTAAGAAAAAGAAAAGATTCTTTATGTTAGTGTAGTTGGATACTTAGATGTTTACAGTGGGGAATTTAGTTGAATGGGTGAGTAGGAGCACTACATTTTTACCTTTCATAAGAAACTTCTATAACTTTAAATATGTATCCATTTCAATGGAACATGTGATCAAATATGGAAGTGAACATGTTTCTACGATGAGGCCACCGTCTCAGGTAGTAGGATTAAGACCATTCTAATGCTCCATAGACACCAGCATTGATTCATGTTCGTAGAAAGTTTCTTTCAAGTGAAATTCTGACCCCACTCTCACCTCTCTATAGACATACAGTGGATGACACTTGTTATATTGGGTGGACCTGGACTCAGATTAACCTTGGACGATTGGGATATTACATTCACAACCCATTTTATATAACTTTATGTACATAAATTTGATTGCCTGGTTTTCTGGGAGCACTCATAAAAGAAAAAAAAAAAATGGAATTGTGATGCATCCTGTGATGTATAGGATTTAGATATGCTACTTTTGAAATGGAGATGATATGTACTAATACTAGTACCCCAGTTGTCCAAATCCTTTTGTCGTGGATAACAGAAAATGTTTATATACACTGAAGATTTTCAATACAAGTCAACCAACCCTCTTAAAAGTGGCCAAGTTGATGGGTGCACTTGTTATTCAAGATTGGAAATGACTCTCATTTCTAGTTGCTTAACAAGGTTATCATGACCTTTTTATCCATACAGATAAAAAAATTGTACTTTCACAGCACAACTGTAATGCCACTTGATAAATGAAACCAACCAATGGCTGCCAGATGTTTTTTTGATTGCCAGAAGTTGCTGATTTACATAATAATAATAATAATAATAATAATAAAGACTACTATTGCATTTATGCATATAGTGGGGACTGCAAAGGTTTCAACCTTACACTTGGTCATTCAGTGGCAACTGTAAAAACTTCTTCAGAAAGTGGAACAACGCAAAATTATGTACGATAAAAAAAAATAAAGATGAGAGCATGATCATTCTTCATTGTTTAAAACAAGAGTAATCAAAAGCATTCGCTCTCCAGAACTGCTCCTGACCACTAAACTTCATGAATTAAATATTTCAACACAAGGAAAAATCAAGCCAGTAACTACATGGAGTTCCGACGACTTCTATTCCTAAGCTGATTTCGGAGCTTCAGTTGTGCTAAACAACACTAACATCTGAATATTTCTAAGCATTAGGAAAAATCTAAGTATACTCCTCTACTCTGAGAAGATGTTACAATTTGCATAATAATGGCAGGCACAGCCAAAAATTGTTTCTTTACCGCCTACAAAAGCCTAAGATGATGCAACACATTAGCTGATTTTCCAATAATAGTTTATAAACCTGATAGCGAACTATGGTACAAAAATTCCCAAATTGAGGTCAGTACTGATAAGTGCCCGGTTGTGCACTGATGTTATGGTGGGAAGCTTGTTGAGTGGGGTTGGCATAGACACCTTGTTGTGCAGCTATTGGATAGGGGCTATGCTGTACATTCATGTTCTCGTAGGGGTTATGCTGCGCATTTACGTTTTGATAGGTGCTATGTGGAGTGCTCACATTCCGGTTCGTGCTTTGGTGAGCAGTCATATTGTTTTGATAGAAAACTTGTTGGGAATTCAAGTTTTGTCCAGTAGAAGGTGCAAATGTTTGAAGAATGCCTTGTGCGGTATTTTGATGCTCAGAATATTGACGGAATTCAGTGAAATTTTCAGAGCCACCTGACACAGGATCTTGGAGCTTTACCCTAGTTCCAACAACCTAAAATTCACAGAAGGTGATTTAACAACCCACTAATAAATAAAATTTCCAAAATAGAGCATTGCCTGCTAGTTCAATGTAAAAGGTATTAAAAACTTCATATCATAATCCAAAATTCCAATTAACATATGAGACAAATGAATCAAACAATTCAATTTTGTTTCCTATAATGAAAGCATAGAATCGAGCCATTACAAGCCACCTCTTCTAATTTATGAGCAAAAAAGGATTTTCTGGAGAAAAAGAAAGTAAAATTGGAAAGAAAAATAAATATGCAAAATTAAGTATTTTCATGGTCATATCATGATATAAATGAATAAAACAAGAAAGGATAGTTCACCATGTGTCAAAAATCCCAATAGAACCTCCTCCCAGCAATGAAGTGTGTACAGGTGTGTCCATTTTGAAGTTTAACTATTAGGGATCAACTAATAGCTTATCTGATTCCCAATAGGCAACCACTAACTATTTGGACATCCAATAAATATTGATTCTAAAAGCTCCATCAAATCTTTTCCCATCAACTAACCGACTTTTGCCCTCTTTTTGACATTCGAACTAAATTTTCCTACTAAAATTTATTACTGACAAAAGCCGACTATCAAAATATTGTAACTTGTAAGTAATCAATACAATTTTGATATTCATATGTATTGACAGTAAGAACTATTTTATTACAAACATCTAAAGAAAACTTAGCATGATATATTAATTGTTTTTACTTGATTTGTATACCAACCATTAGTTTCCCTTTTATTTCAACCAATTGATTATGGCATCATCGCCACCCCACAAAACACCTATCCCACCCTAACATACTCACACGGCACGGGCTGAACATTTTAGTAGAATACCTCACTAACATTTGGAATTCCCCCAGCTCCTAAAACAGAATTGACTCCATTATTTGAAATATTAGCCTCCAAAGCACTGTTCACATTTATGTATCTGGAATCAAACAAGCAAAGAACTTAGTCACAGTATTCAAGCTTGCACTTATAATTATAAAAGAAGAGAGCAACAATACCCAATAGCAGCAGGCGCAACTGGATAACTCTGAGATTCATAATTGTGTCCGCCATCCTTCACAAAAGCATAAACAGTGGTTATCACATTCAAGACATATCTCAGCAACAATCTTTTAAAAAAAAAAATCTTAAATGAATTTAATTGAGGATGATTCTTATGCATCTAAATAACATAAATCACGCTTAAGGCGTTTAAACCAGAACATCATAAGAATGCCAATGTGTGGCCCACCATTTCCCAAACGATGATGACACAATTAAAATAACAGGTGAACAGCAAACATTAATAACCCATATGCATTACAGTTTATGAACCTTATATTCAGACTACAGAACCTCAATCAGAACTAAATGCATTGGCTACAGAGACCTTCTCCTATCATTACACTGTGTTAAGGATCAACATTTACTAGATCAATGATTATTACATCATCCCATTTCACTTGCGGTCTACCTCTTCAATATTTCTCCCATATTACCCCAATCCATTCCTCTTCAATGATTCTCCCATATAACTAGAATCCATTCATTCTTCAACTTTACTGTAAAAGGTAACCCAGTACACGAAACATCCCACATTTAAGGGCCCTGAGGAGGGTTGATGACACAGTCTTCCCCCTGCTTTTGCAAAAGACTGTTTTTGTGGACCTATAACCTCTAGGTCACGAGTGGAATAACTTTTATCATTACACCAAAGTCACCCTCTCAACCAAACCTTTACTGTACTAAAGTAAAAGAAAATAAAACATCAGTAACAGCAATGTCAAAACAAGCATCAGAAAGGCAAGATGTAATGGTGGTTGAGAATCAACCAAGACTAAAACTTGGCTCTTGGTCGCTATATCGACACGCTAAAAGAGACAGGGCAGAGTGGTGGTGTCATTATTCTCCAATAAATACTATCCATAGCATTCTTCAAGAAGAACACGCAACGTAGATGGAATGGCAAAACACGCGCAAAGTTATTATTGGAGAATAACAAGAAAGAGCATGCGCGATAAAACTAATCCAGAGAGAACGTGGGAATGCTTTACGTGTCAAACCATTATCTCTAATTCAAAATAGGACCACAACATTATCTAAGACAATAAGATAACTGCACAAGTGTACTACAACCACAATAATTTTTTAACAAAGTCATGTCCTATTTTACCTGTTCCCAAGTTTGTTATAAACACTAAACAGGCGATTTCATAGTGAATGAATAACAAGTACTTCAACCAAAAGATGCGTTAAATGAAGGGTGAATTACCCTTATAGTTTCATATCCACCAGAACTGCTAGCTCCCATTATACCAGATGGTGGGGGCCCTCTGCCTGGCAAGCTTCGTGCAGGCCCAAATCCCTGGACAGGTCCAACAGGCCCAGACTCTGCTCCGGCATTTGCATCTCGCAAAGTCCTTACTCTTAGCCTTGATGCAATCTCTGACAAAGCATCTTTGGCAACAACGAAATTCCCAGTTATCTAAAATAACCAGAAGATTAGATCAAAGCTGCAAATAATTCCAGGAAAGAAAATTACAATGATCAAAACAATCACTAGTAAAATAAAATAAAATTAAATTTATTGGTATAAACAAATTAAAAGTCTAAAAATGCCTCATTTGACCATATCACCTGTACAAGCTCTTCATCTTCGGATGCAATCTTAGGCTTATCATCTTTGGAGTAAACACGAATATCTGCTTGGGTTCTCCTTCGCATTTCATTGATAACTTGACCTCCTTGTCCAAGGATACAGCCAACCTTACTTGATGGAACAAGAAGTCTTGTACTTATTGTACCTTTATCAGAGAATTCACTTGTTTTATTCTGAAGCTGAAGAATTGCATCAATTGTTTGTGATCTTGGGTTCCAGAGACCCTGAAATAATATCAGTACAATTTGTATTATCATAATAGTAGCATAACGATCTTAGGCACCATCAGACATTTTAAGCATTGAAAGAGGTTCTTGCAAGCTAGGCAGACCTCGAAAGCAGAGACACGAATCACCCGTTCATCTGCCTCTGCTGAAGCATCTTCAACATGAATACTAGCACCCGTCTCTTGCTGAACCAGTTTTACATTAGAGCCTCCCTTGCCAATTACCCCACCAATTTTCCCGGCAGAACACAAAATTTTCATAGAAAACTCAGCTGAAGGCTCCCTGCCATGTCCTGGTGTTCCAAAGCCACCAGGCCTTAATCCTGTAGGCTGCCTGTCATATCCCCCCATCCACTGGATAGAAGGCATATTGTTGGGAGAAGAATTCCGATGAGGCCACATTGGATTTCCTGGTGGGCGCATATTGGTCATGGAACCACCAGGGGTGTGAAAATTCTGGCCACTGTAAGGCATAGGCACACTTGGAGGTTTATCTTTTCGGGGATTTTGATGCAATAAAGTGGATACTTCATAGAGAGCCCTCTTCGCTACATCTGGGTTTGCAGATATCTGAAACATACCTTCAAAAATTACAACTTTTGTTGGGGTAGTTGCAGGAAATATATTTTCTTCCAGGACAAGTTTTTTATCCACATGCAACATAAACTTAAGAAGTACGACATAAAAGCATAATTACAGTTCCAAAGAAAAACATCACAAGATCAAATTCATCCAGAAATTAGATTTATTTACAATGCACATGTATGTCCTCGACAACAGAACAGGATGTATGTGCATCAAAATGTTCAAGAAAGAAAACATGCAATCATTTAAAATTATAGTCAACCAGCAATGAGGCATTAGAATTTATAAGGGTCAAAAAGAAAGTGGGGACAAAGAGTCTCCCAAGTAAAATAGGTGTTGAATGAGTTCTATCTTGCTAGGTATTCATTTTGGTGTAATCGTTTATGCACGAAATGAATCCAGCTCATTGGGAATCCATATTTAACTTAAGATACAGCTAAGGCCAGTATGCATTACTGTAACTTTGTAATGATTGACATATCTAACAATGAAGCAAGGTTGACCCAATTGGGAATTCCAATCTAACTGATATTGGCCATAGAAGAGAGAGAAATTAAGCACCTGAGACCATTTGTAACTTATCCAACAAACTATTAGGAGATATCCAATCTATCTTCTTTACAAGGCATCAAAAAGAATATGGAAATAAAGAGAAAAAATAATATGGCAAAGAGAAAAGAGAGATCGTAAACTATTGGTCCTACAAACTACCCTTATTTCTCAACCACTAAATCAATTGGCCAGCACTTAAGATATGCAGCGAGCAAAGGTCAATCCACCCACCTCTTCTGCATGGCTGGTCCCATCCTTTGCATCCACCATCTTAATCAAGGTATGCTTGGATCTTCCAGGTGCATTCACATTTGGAATGTATCTTTCAAACTTGAGCCTAGAACCTTCCTTCCAATAAATAGTATGTCAGTCAAACAGATCAAGTCAGCTCAGTTGTGTAACTGGTTGTCACATCTTTGCCATTTAATGGCCAGGCCAGCACATATTTCAACTTCTCATGAGAAGCAAGCAAACAGCCGGAGAAGACCTGCCTTAACAAGAGGACATGCATTCCACCATGCTGATTCACAAGGTGGAGCTCAAGTAAGAAATCCAATATTGCTTTGAAATCAGTAGAAAGAATAAAGATGCCAATGCCAAAGGTCTTGAGAAAGCCAAATAACATTAACATGACCGCGTAACCATAGAGTCAATGACACATAATCCATTGGCCAGACTAGTCATATCAAATTAAAGAGATCACTTTCAGATCTCATATGCAGTTTCACTTGATAATCTCTAGCTTACAACAATCCTATATGTGAAATTATGACACTACCTCATCGAAATATTGGTATAAGTGGACCAACAGAAAATGCTAATAGCCTGCCAGGCTAATGTTTTTAAGCCCCCAGCATCTCAACTCTTGCCTTTACCTTGAGCAGAAAAAAGTGACAGTTAAGTTGCTTACAATCCTATGAAAGAATATTTCACTATCTTGTCTCAAGTGATTAAATACAAACATCAATTGCTGGAAGCTCTTCGTTACTCCATTATACTGTACCCAGCAACAGAAGGTATAGAGACAAAGCAGTTTTTAGCTACTTCATTCTTGACTAGTTCACAGTTGTGCTCAACACATCAAGAACTTAGAGCATACACCTTAGAGGAAAAATTAAACCCACATCCTAAGAATTAGGTCTTTTGCTTTATTTTTTTCTTCTTTCTTTCAACTTTTCGACAGCATGGATTAGGACTCAACCTAGTTCCAATTTCCAAATGCTTCTAAAAGTACAACTTGGTATGACAGGACTGAGCAGTCCCAAGTCCAAATATAATCATGACGGAGTTAATCTCATTATGCAGCCTCAAACCATGGGCAAGTAGTCTCCAGAAAAACAAGGCAGAAATCTATTATGTGGTTGACAAGCCAGTAAGTAACTGCCTGGCAATGCTAAGCAATTACTTGGCCATGGACCGTTTGTCAAGAGATTGAATGGATTACAGACAAAGAATCAATACAGGCACATAATTGGGTCGGAACTCTTGAATAAGGGTCAAATTCTTAAATCCAGGCACAGAATTTCAGAGACTCGCAAATAGAATTGCAAGTGGCCGTTCTAAATCCTCCCATTTGACAACTTATTGACATTGCTTACTAATTATAGGAACATCGAGTCAAGCCAAAAGCCCAAATAAGAATCACAAATTTGGAAATCAGTTAAAATAACTAATGACTAAATGAGAGAGCAAAACTTCCCAGTCAGCATAACAAGATACCTTCTTGAATCTGTGTTAGACTTGATAGCCTTTGGCATATAGTTCATAGATAAATTTAGAGCTACAAATGTTTAGAAATGCATCTATTGAAAACCTTGTGATGAAATTAATTTAATATTTGCTTTGGTAACATTCATAAAATAAAGTAAGCTTCTTATGCAAAACAAACTGCTAACCACTGAACCCGATAGAGGCAGGGTCAGGGCTCAATGCACAGTTATTAAGTGTTCACAAATGCTATAATTAGTAGATGTTATTAGAAAGTGCAAGTAATACATAAAGACAGGTCACAACAGAAGATAATGAAATTCTATAAAGAACTAATTAATAATATTTCATAACAGAAGAAAAATCAAAATAATCCTGAAAGAAAAGCAATAATGTTAAAATGAATAACAGAGTGGCTTTGACACTTGACAGATTGGAAACATGGTAAATTTATAGTAATGTTATTACTTTTTTAGCCTTTTCCAATTGCAAGAAGAGTTATACAGCTGTAAGTCAAAAACCTGATGCTAGCTTGATGGAGGTTGTAATGTTAAGTTGCTTGAGGATCTGAGCTGGAGGCCATGCTCAATAAATGTTACAGCATTATTTTTTATTGAAGTGACATGGTAGCTTGTCAAGCTGCCACATCTTCCTTCGCTTCACCAATTAACCAGCCAGCTCAAACAGTTCAAAGTGAGTTTTTGAAAGAAAAGGGTTTGGAACCAGATCAGCTCAGCTGTTGACTCATTTCTTGTCCCTGGTTTTTCAGTGTGACTGCTCAAACTGGTTCAGGTTTGATAATGTTGAGCAAATAGCTTGTGGGAGAGAGAGTAAATGCATTAATCCATTTATAACCCAGGAAAGTCATTTCATAAGTCAAAGAGAATAGAAAATCTACACAACTAAACACTGTCAACATGCCTATCTGCATCCTAAACATTTTGAATATCCCTTGAAATATTTAGTAACATATGAAATACTAATAAAGGTGCTATTTAATATTTTGGATCTATATGCAAATCCCGATAGGCAAAATCTATAAAGTATTGCAATTGGAAATGAGTGGAAAAGAAAAAAAAGATTAGTGGTTAGCTGCATATAAGACACACAAGCCCTAAGCCAGCATCCAAAGCTTAAAAAAAAAAAAAAGAGTTAAGAGATATTACCTGAACCAATTCGTCTGTGTTCATAGCACAAGCAGGAAGATGATCTGCAGGAAGAACACGAATGCTTGCACCTGTCTCACTTCGCAATCTTTGGATAACATCTCCACGCTTGCCTAAAAGACATCCTACCATATTGTTTGGAACTAGAAGCCGTGCCGTGACAACACTGTTCTCATTATCATCATCAGATGCCATTCCACCAAAAAGATCTTCCTCGACAATCCTTTCATGAACTTTCAAGAGCGCATCCTGAGCAGCACAGTGAGGGTCCATTGTCTCCTGTTCATTCTCCATTGTCGAATCCTCATCATTATTTTGGTTCCTAGAAATTTTCTCAGGAGAACTATAAATAATAATCACCCTTTCATCGGAACCATGAACTGAATCAGCAACTGTAATCTTTGCCCGGGTCTCTTCCCTTAGCGCTTTAACTATGCTTCCACCTTTTCCAATAACACCCCCAATCTTTCTTGAAGGACAGAGTATGCGGTAAACAGTGTCAACAGGAAGTGAATTTCCTGAAGATTCTTCACGACTGGAATCATTCCATCTTTCTTTTCTGTCGACTCCTTTTCGCTTGAATTGACTGTTTTGGGGTTTCTTAAAATATTTTCGCTTGTTCCCGTCCATAATGCTAAAGAAATAAATAAGGAAACAGTAACTCGTTTATCCTGCAGAAATAAGTTCTTTTCATCATCTGAAAACCAAACATATTTAGTACATAAACAAGCCAAGCATGAAGTGAGCAGGAAACTAGCCCACAAATGGCCAGACATTCTGCTATTGTTATTGTACAAATAATGTGAGATGATAGATATAAAAGGCACCAGGATGAAAAGGTGAAAAAGTTATAACTTATATATGCAAAGTAACTACCACTGAGACTTCACATCACTATTTTAGGAGGAAAAAAAGGAGAAAACTGCAACATGCATAGGCCGATAATTATGCAACTGCAGGATAGTGGATTATTAAGAGGGCAGAATTTTACAAGAATTTCATAACACAACAAGGGAAAAAACCCTTCCAACCCTTCCAGTCTCAAAATATTCACAGCTGGAATGTGGGGCAGGGTGGGGTGGAGGCATTGTAACCTTCAGTTAAGTAACCTAGTAAAAGTATACAACAACCTTACTTATTACATAAATTCATTAAATTACTGTGGACACAGAAGAAGATACAGATTTAAACTTTTTGAAAATCCCCGCATCTCCAAGGCACTAAAAACAAACTATAAGAAGGCACAATGCCTGTTGAGCTATATCAATGCCGGAACCTACAAATTCACACTAATAGTGCAACTCTCACGATTTCATAGTACAAAATATCATCATGATTTGACCAAAAACATCACGAAAAATTTACACAAACAAGAATTATTAAGTTTACAAAACAATGAAAACCCGTGCAATGTTAATAATTAAATTTTGATATGCACCTGCTCGGTCGTAAGTTTTAGATATTCTCGGGAAAGCAGCTAAAATAAGAGACATTAAATTTTAAACTCAAATATATAACTAATACACTGTACATATGTGCATTTCTAAACATATAGAAGCTCCAGGAATTAGCAGAGAAATAGTAAGAAATGCAATACAAAAAGAACTGGAAAAACTCGATAAAGCTCAAAATTTGGACCAATCAGCTCGTAATTAATAGTTTAGGTCTCGAAAGTTAGCTGCGTAAATAGAAACGGCTTCAAATTAAGGAAGAAAGCTTCTTCTTACAAGAAAAAACAAAATTAAGCTAAGAAATGAGCACTAAAAAGACAATTAGGGTTTTGCAGAGCACTAAAAAGAGGAGATATGGAAAAAGTAAACGTACCAGTGAGAGAGAAGATGAGAACACGTAATTTTGAAACACGATTTTGTATTACGCGAGAGTTAATCCCCACTCGCTAGCAGTAATGCTCTGTGCAAAGCTCCATGTAAGAGAACGGGAATGTGGATTTTGGGTGGAAAGGGCTTTCATATTTCTTTGAATTGATTTTTTTTTTTTTTTTTCGTTCTTTTCCTTTCTCGTTTGAGAGAGAAAATATTGGGTATGGACCTAAGCCCATGATACGCCAATGATCTTACAGGATTTGTTTCGAATATTTTCTGGTCTTCAAGCCCATTAGAAATCTTAAAGAGGAATATAAGCCCAATAAAATCAAATATGTGACACGCTAATAAAGCCCAAATGCATAAATTTATTACCAATTATTAGCATTACTGTGAACTACAGCATTACTACTAACTAATCAAGTGTGTTGGATCCAACATGATGTGATTGGCAAAAGGAACTATCCTAATGTTATTAACTAGTTACTAAAACCATCATTCTAAGGTTTTTTTTTTTTTTAATTCATTGTAGGCTTATATGATCGAAATAACATTACAGGCTACACAACAGATTGTAGCCCTTCTCTTGGAATATTAAATTGGTGAAAACAACTGTAGTGGAGAGGACTCGAACTCAAGACCTCCCACATTCTAATGTTTATTTCTTAAGTCTAAGTCTAAGGGGTAATTCAGTTAATCTTTAAAGTCATATTGATTATAATCAATGACATAAATGACTTGCAATAGAATCTAATCCAATATATGAATATTATTATTATTATTATATATAAATCATGGATGGTCATAACAGTGAATATAAACTACAGCTTTAAATAAATTTTACATATAAAATTAAAAATTCCATTTATAAACACATTTAAATTCAACGGATAATCTCTATAAGATCCTATCCTTAGATGCCATATTTGCAAAAGCATAGAAGCCTTTGATTTGATGTTTCCCACAAGACAATTGACTATATACATGAAAGGAGATAGGTTGGCTCATTCAGGTGAAGTGATTCCTCACCAAAAACCTTGGTCTGATTGAGAAAATTTTCTACAAATCAAAATGGTTTATGAATATTATACGTAATTTATACATCTTAATTTATGTATAGTCTTTCTCCGTTTTCTGATGCATCATTTAAGTTGCTTTTATGAGGAAAAATAAAAATCTATATCCGATTAAAAAGAATGTGGAGGAGATACCCGTAAAAAGCCAACAAAGAAAAGGGTATCCCTGTGATTAAATTAACCCTAATCACAATTCCTTAATTATTATTGAGAAAATATTTTATTGAAAATGTTAAATATAAATTGTTAATTTCATCTGTACTTATCATATATAATGATTACACATAATTAAATAATATTTCTTCTTTTAAAGAATATTTAAAAAACAATATTTTGATAAATGAGTACAATTACAATGAATCTTCAAAAACTAGTGCAAAGATATGAACATCACTGTAATTTATTGAAAAAGATATATTTAGTTTTTAATTACACGAAATAAATAATTAATAAATTTTATATTCAGAGGAGGATATATAGATCGGAAAACCATCAGAAATTAAGTTGTAATAATAATAAAAATCATAATAAGTATCTGATATGGTTTGTACATGGCGTGTTGCTTATAATTAACAAACGACAGGGAAAGTGGAGTGCAGTAAAGCAGAGCAGTTTTAGGTTTGAACAGGTGCAAGACATGCTCGTGGACGTGGCAGAATAACCTTAGACAACAAATTTCCTCGCTTCTTCTAACCCATGCCATTTTTTTTTTAATATGTAATTTATTAATAGTCTATACTATATATATATATATTGAAGAGATATATTTAGGTTTTTAATTACACGAGAATAAATAATTAATAAATTATATCAGAGGAGATATGAATAGATCGGAAAAATACCATCCAGAGATTTAAGTGGTGTAATAAGGTAATAGAAAATCCATAATGAAGTTATCTGATAGTGGGTTTGTACATGGCGTGGTTGCTATAATTAACAAACGGACGAGGGGAAAGTGGGAGGTTGCAGTAAAGCAAGCGTGTTTAGGTTTTGAAGAACAGGGTGCCAAGGACTGATTGGCTCGTGGACGTGGCAGAATGAAAAACACCTTGAGACGAACGAAATGTTGCCTCGCGGCTTGCTTTGCGTAGAGACCCGAGCACGATTTTTTTTTTGAGATATGTGATTTATTAAGAAGTGCGGTATACGTTATGATGATTATATATATGATATATAATATAGAGGAATTGGAAGGGAGGAAGAGAGTTAGATGGTATATTTGGTTTTGGTAGAGATTAAAAGTGCTCGTAAAGAAATACTTTAATCATAAGGCTAGATTAAAAAATTGTAAGAAATAAAAATATATATAAGGATCGTACTGATTAATTTGGATTGGATCTTTGGAGCTGTTTTTTAATAGAGTAATTGGACATATAGATAATTAATTAATTTGAAAATTTAAAATTTTACTGGATTAGTTATCGTGAGTTATGTGCAAATTATGTTAATTGGTTATCTATTAGTTATATAAAGGTATTACTGAATAATTTAATAATTGTAATAAGGGACTTTGATCTGTTGTATTTTTCTTTAGCTGATTATTGGGTAGAATTCATCGTTCAGACGATTTGTTTCAACATTGTTATTTTAAATGAATATGTGTAAACATGATGCATTTGAAAATTTTTATTTTTTCACATTTATTTTAAATAAATATATCTAGATAATTAGGATCTTGATTTAAAAAGGGTATGGTTAAATTTCTTTAATTATAAATTGCACTCTAATTTCGTTGGCTAAAACATAAGATAAAAAAATATTATTTTCAAACATCTCGAATTAGATTAATTATATTGATATCTTATTTAGTTCAAAGCATATTCTTTCTATTAAGGAATATAATTTTATTAATAAAATTTTTAAATGATATCATGATTTTGATTGCCAAAAAAATAAAAATAAAAATTATTATTATTGCATTCTATTGTTAAAGTATATTTATTGACTAAAAGAGATTATAGTAAATGTTATTAAAAAATATAAGTTAATTATAAAATGTAAAATAAAATGTGTATGTGATTTTTATAAATTAATTTGGTACTTAAATAAAAAAAAAAAAAAGCAACTGGCATGTAACAAAAACTATATGAACCAATATATTGAAGAGAATATAAATGACATATTTTATATTTAAATTGATATTTTAAAGTGAGAAATAAATATATCAACTTCTTTTCAACGAGATATTACAATGCAAGATATATAACTAAAAAAAATATTTTATTGTATATATAAAAATCATTATTAGTAGCTAATAAAATTCGTTGATAATAAATGAATTCGTATCCTTTTAAATAATGAAACCAAAACTAAAAAATATAATACTAAATATTTCTTCTCGGAGGTGATGTTAACAAAATATATAAAAATTTTCATACTACCAAGTAGTCCGCTAATTGATTTGAACGTTAAAATAATAACTCAACTGGATCTTCTATGATTAGATTATTTTTCCAATGATTTACAACATATGAAAAATAAAGATGAGTTTCTGCCGCCAAGCGTCAATAGAATCAATAAAAGAATAGGTTATAGTATCAGACTCCATTGATTGAAAATCAACATCTGCAAATCAAGATCTAAAATCTCAAACCAAATAAAATTAAATATTCTATTTTTATTTAGTAATAAACTCTTACAAAGAAGGGACTACTCTCACAAAAAGGGAAAAAAAAAACTCCATAATAATAACAAAACAAAAAAGATAGATATATTATAGAAAAAAACATATGTGAATCTATTAAAATAAAAGAAATTAAAAATAAAAAAAGATGAAGAAAAGAGATAGTAAAAAATAAAAGGTAATATTGCTGATAAATATCGGTAGCCCAAATTAAAATTAGGATTACAAAACCAGAGAAAAAAAAAATCTAAATTTTTTTATTTGGATTGGTTTTTGATTCATACCAATGTTTTTAACCTCTGCTTTTATTCTACAGTACGTTTAACTTTTAAATCCCAACCCTTCCAGTTAGTCCGAGGTATGAGGTTAGTTGGTAAGCATGTAGGTTAAGGTTAGTTGGTAAGCATCTCACGAATAATTTAACTCATTTAGTCAAGTAAACGATTTAAGGGATAAATAATCTTTCGCCTAATGCTTCTTCTAGATCATTTTATTATTATTATTCCAGGAATAAGGGATTCGCTGTCACTTATTGTACTCCCTTTATTTTTTTTTTTTTTACTCCAACGAAAAGGTAAACCATCAATTAAATTAAACACCAAAACCTGCAATGATTATACACATGAAAGTGAAAGTTAAAAACTGATCGATTTACCATTTCTATTCATGTAAAACCATATTTATACACCTCTATTCATTTTTACCATGGAGGATCAAAAAAAAAAAAAAAGGTAAAAAAATTCGAAAACTGGACACTTTCTCTTCTAAACAAAGAGCCGAGCCGATCCGAGCCGTCAAAACTGGACTTTCTTACATAAGTTACAGTTTCCTGTTTCCGTCTGTCTTCTTTTTATATGTTTTAATGACGAGTTGGACGATCAAGTCCCAGCTCAATCTTACACGTATCATCATCCGATGATCCATAGCCATAAGACTCAACTTTCCTTTTCTTCACCGGAACTACCACGTGACTTGCACGTGAAACGGGCTTAAGCCCAAGAGTCAACTCAAGTCCAAGTCCAGCTATTTCAGTACTTGCGTGATCGTGGCTGTGGACCGCTCTTTCTGTAGCCTTTATAACCGACTCCGGCTCGGCTCGTAACAGCATCGACGCCTCAGCTGTTTCAACGGAAACCATACTCTCCGTTTCTTTGCTTTCTCCCTCCACCATTGCCAACTCCGATTGGTGACTCACCGATGATTCGTGACTCGTCGACCGAGTCAACTCATCCCTAGCTGATGGCTCAACGATCGGCTTATTATTATTGTTACTGCCTTTCGACTTCACAACTCGCCTAACCCGGTTACGAGTCTTGACTCGGTTAAGATCGTTAGAAGCAGCAGAGTTCTCGTCTTTAGAAACATGACGTATATCATAAGCCTTCAAAGGCGGCCCATGGCCATTCGCAGCAGCTTCAGAGTTGATCGGAGTAATCGGCGTTCCTTTTAAAACGGCTTCAACAGCAGCTTGACAAAGATGCCAACTTCCAGACCATAACAATCCGACCGACCCATAAATCGGATTCACTATCCTTCCACAAGCCTCATAAAGCAAAGACCTGAAAATCGCTGTTTAAAAGAAAAAGAAACAATCAACATTCCAAAACTCCAGCCAAAGAAAATCCAAAATAACAATCAAACACACAATCACCCCACAAACTAACCAGGACGAAGATGTTCAGGGCCAGCGTTAATAAGATTCATTAATCCAGCACGGCCATAAAACTTGGCGAGAAAGACAGTCGCATTAGCTTGCGACTCGGGGCTCTTGATCCATTGCAAACAAGGTCTGATACTGCAATTTTCACTGCAACCCTTGCGTAGAACTCGACATCCATTACAACTCATCCGCATTTTTTAACAAGAAAAAGGAGAATGATGGTGGTTTTGAAAGGGGAGAAATTGTAGTTGTGGTTTTGGGGGAGAAAGGAAGAGAAGAGAGAAATGGGTATTTAAGTAAGAGGCAGAAGAAGAAGAAAAGGGAAGGTGGCCGTGGGTTTTAGAGGGTACTGGGTACGCAACTTGTTTTTATCTCCAAAACACTGGTTTCCACATTCAAGGAGGTTGGGTTTTTTTGTACTGTTTCATAGTTTCTATTAAAATAATAATTTAAACATCGTAAAGTGTATGATTAGTCCCACTCTCGTTTAAGGAGCGTGAAGACTAACTCCCAGTAAATGGATACTATTCGGTATTGGTATTGGTGATGGGGAGATAGGTAACTGCTTTGTTACGTAGCAAATGCGGAAGATGCAAAACTATTTTTTTTTTTTTGTAATTATTAATATTTACGAATTAGCTTACTCCTGTTAAAATTATTTTTTACCAAAAAAATATACGTGTGGTTGTGTTTTATGACGAGTATAATATACACTTGTCTTTTACGAAGATTGCTGTTCCATCTTGTAATGTTTTTTTAAACCTATTTCTCAAATGAGGTGTACAAGAATCATTGATAAATGAGAATAGCCTCATAATACACGAATTATGCTTTTCTTTTCAACAAGGAAATGCATAAATTATACTCTCTCCATCCAAAATAGTATATTATGTCTCTTTTCTTACTTGCTCTAAAGTATAATGATTTTAAAAAAAATTAAATTAAATTTTCAAATATTTTTATCCTTATTTAAAATGTCCTATTATATCTATAAAAATAGTTTAAAAAATAAAATATACGTGAATTTAATAAATAATTTCTGAAATATAAAGATTTTTTATCCATTCAATATATGTGTTTCCTAGAAATCAAATTTATATTGTCATCTTTCTAGGAATGCAGCCGTTTATTATCCCAATGAACACGTTGTTAATTGTCTTAGATTTATTTTTTAACTCTACAAATAAGTATAATTTTACATACCACTAACTGAATTGTTAATATTTTTAAAACAATTAATTAAGATTATAGATCAGTCGAATTTTAAATTAAATTTTATTAAATTTGAGTTCATTTAAATTTAATTTAGTGTAAAATTTGAAAAATCAAACTTGAGTTCTTATCTATTAAATAATTAATAGTACAAAAATTACCCCAAAAACAAACTTGAACTCAAGCTGAAAATCAAATTGTTTTGTTAAATCAATCTGATAAATAGGTAGATTATAATTTCTTAAACTTATTGAACAGTATTTTTTTTTTTTTTTTACCAAAAAGCTTACGAGTCACTCGACTTCTCTCATTTGCCACCTCACCATTAATTATTTTTATTGGAATCGATGCAGAGGGGCAAATTGGCAATAACAAAAGTAAAAGACAGGTGTATAAATGAGAGTAGGAAAAGGTTAGAATAGGCATGCAAATGGGTTCAAACATTGAGAAGGGAAGAGAAGAGCGCGTGTCAGGCACGTTTTGGTGTCAGAGTGCGGTCGAATCGCCACATATCGGGGAAAGAGAGGGGTCCACCGGGAGCTCCCGGTTTTCAATGAAATGAAAAGAAAAATAAAAAAAAAAAAAGCAGATTAAAATTAAAGCTCCTGGTTTTCGGGAGGTCGTGTGTTCAAAACCGCTTTTGGGAAAACCAGTAACCGGTTTCCGGATTTGTTGCGTTGTGCGTGTGCCTTTTTATTTTTGGGACTGTGGGCGCATTACAGGACCTGTTCGCCAACGGTTTTGGAGGACTTTGGCTGCTTTATTTTTTATTATTATTTCGCTTATCGTGTTTAGGATCACAACTTGGATTATATTACACTATTCCTGTACAATTTGACACTCTAATCCTGTTTATTTTTATCGTTGGATAAATAATTATTTAATCCTCTTTTTAGTGAACAAGCTGGATAATTTTTTTAGATGCCTAAAACTATTTAGCGATTCTGCTTCCTTGGAACATATATATTTGATTATTCTTGTCCATCACACCTAACCTTTTATTATTAATAAGTCCCTCGCTTTTACTATTTTTATAAAAAAATATTTATAAGCAGAAACGATTTATATTTATAAATAGAGAGAAATATTATTAAATGTTAAGATACCAAAAAATTAAACTTTTGACGTTCGAAAATTTTATTTTTCAAATATTGCAACTATAAGTTATTATTAGACTAATAACCAACATTGAAGTATTGGTTTTATTGTACAAAAATTAAAATATTTAATTTCCTTTCCTTTTAGAATTATATATTTACAGTGCAAAAAATTGAAGATTTTTTAGTCAGGTTTGTGTACAGATAAATATATAAAGAGTAAAAATGGTAAAAAAATTATTACTCTTTGAAACCATAAATATAACAAATATTTTAAAATATAGTATTTTCTTAAAAGTGACAAGTATTTAAAAACAATGACGTATCAATCATAAAGAATGACTATCGAGTTAAATTATCAAATAAATATATATAGTTTTTAATTTCTCTCTTGATATGAAATTTTATTTTTTTTTTTATCAAATTAGAATAATAGTAGATCTAATACAACATGCAAATGATGAAATTAAAAAAAAAAAATGATAACTTTGTAATTATCATGTGGGCATGTCTTGACTTTAGTTTGGTTTTGTCCGTGATTTAGGAAATTAATCAAAATTAGTGGTCATAAATATTGATTCCACATCTAATAATTTCCTTCAATGTTATTTAATGAACCGGCGGCTGCAAAGAATTTGGAAGACAATGACTCTCCAACCTCCGTTTAATTATAAAATCCCCAACTTTGTAATTTCCTTAATTTCTTTCTCTACCATTAAATCATTGAACTTTAATTTTTTATTAATTGTTTTATAACCAATCAATTAAAATACGAGGTATGCACAAGTTTCAATTTTAAATCCAACGGTCAAATCGACATTAAATGATGATTCAAGCCGTTATGGTTTGATTTTAATTTTTTATTTTTTAAAATTGAAATTAATGGTTTTAGTTTAAAATCGATGGATTCTAGTATAAAACCGTGGAAAATATTTTTGTTTTATAATAATTTTTAAAATAAATTTTAAAATACTTTATAAAATTAGTTAGACTTTTTCAATAGTATTATTTATTATTACTTATTTACTCAAACTAAAAGAAAAATCTAAAAATTGAAAAGAATTATCTAATTTTAATTTCAAATTAAAACGAAACAGTAATTGGTGGTTTTAAAACTGCCTAAAAGTAGTTTTATTTTAATTTCACATTTTTATAATTAGATCAATAGTTTTGAGAATGAAAGCGGTGTTTCTGAAACTGTAATCATGCTTATAGTATACATAACCACTAGTTTAATAGCTAATTAACCTCACTTTCCTCATTTTTATTTAATTTTAGCCTCATCTTTATGAACCAACTTACATATTATTATATAATTTAATGGGTAATTTGTTTTTTTGTAGATTTATACACAAATTTATATTTGATGTTCTCTCTTTAGGACTCTTTCTACTCGCTTCTCCCCATTTATGGTTTTTAATTAATTGTTTAAGATCAATGGGACCCAACGAGGGAACTTCATGCTCTCCAAAATTGGATCTCTAATATATTATTCTTATTTCTCTCTCGTCCACAAATAACTTTCAAATGTACGAAAATAATATATCTATAAATAAATGTTACATTTATGGATTTTAAAAAATAATAAATCTTTTTTCTCATTTTTGCCATTTGAAAATGACTAACATTAATCTACAATTTCTAAAAATATCTCTTTTTATTATAAATAAGGGATAATATAATTTGTTTACTTAATAATTTATTATAAATTAGATATATGAAATAACTTTCTCAAGAGACGAAAAATATTGTGCAAATGTGATGGTACTTCATAGATGTGCAATTATAGGAGGGATTACTAATTAATGAGTTAGTTACAGAAAATGCCATATAGCCACAAATTTATTATTTAGGCCAAAATGTAATCTAAGTGGAATTGAGTCGATACGCTGTGAGGCTAAATTTTCAATTCAAATTCGAGTATATTTTAATTTTTAAATCCAAACTTGACTTGAATAAATGCTCAAAATATTAAAACTCAAATAAGCATTCTTTGATGATTAAGAACAATTAGAGGCATGAAAATTAAGAAGTTTCACTAAAAATTAAATTATTATGTCCAAATTATATCCAATTGTGATAAATTCCAAAAAAATTCACCAAAAGTTCCCAATTGACTCGCCCTCTAAGATCTTATCATACCTTATTAGCCATTTGAAGTTAGCTTAAGAGGGAGAGAGTTCAAGACCTCATTAGATCCTCCTATAATCATGTAAGACTTGGCATCATTATGACTTTATATGAGCAATTACGTAGAATAGCATAAAAGGTTTCATTCACGAGCAAGTTGAGAGTTTTAACGTATACCTTTTTTTTTTCAAGTTTAATGACAATTGACGACAGGGGCGGAGGGAGAGGACAGGGAGCCCCGATCCTCAAACCCTAAATTTTGGATGGAGTCGGGTGGGCATAACCCCGAACCACCCCATTACCATCTCTATTCGTGATGGATGACACATTTCAATTGGGTAATTTCACTACACAAAGTAATTCAAAGATAAGATAGATTCATACGTATAAATTCAATACAATCATGCATACCCTAAATCATTGTTAATCAAAGAATGAAAGGTATGGTAAAGGGTTACATGCAAGCTATCATGATTAACAATTTCCCAAATTCATATTCTCACCGACAAATTAAAATTGATTGACATTGACTTGATTTCTATATTACTACATCTCTTCTCATTTTTAAGTATTTACGTATAGAGCTCCACATTTATGTAAAGACCCTTTAACCTGTAAGTAATATTTTTCTTGTATGCCTAAAATTTTCCAAGAAAAGAGTTAGAAGTAGTAGTAGCAGCAGAAGCAGCTAAGCCCAAAAATTTCATATGGGAAACTGATGCAACCTAACTTTGGAATTTTCTGATTCCAAGAAAACAAATACTGCCAAAAGACTATCATTAGACCCATCAATGGACAGCTTTGTTTTTATAAATGTATATATATATATATATATATATATATTCAATAATATTAGTTAGCTGTTATGGTAACTGTTAGTTTTTAATTAATAGGTGTTTATCTCGCGGTTTAA